AGGCCATATAATTTACCTCAATTTAGGATAGACTCTTAAATTTTGAAAGAGTCAAAATAGGATGAACGGATCATATAAACCCGAAGGCAAATATAATACAAGCCCAAACGAAAAAAAAATAAACAAGTCTAAATTGAAAAAAAACGTTCAAACCTATGATTGCGTTGGATAAAAACCACAATTTTTATACGTGTGCATGCAAAACAAATTTCTTGGTAGAGGGGTCTAAATACAGCACAAACAACATTTTCCAAAAGACCAAATGAGTGAAAAAATATATTTTAACAAAACGCATTTGACTAGCAGGTCCAACAACTGATGTTCTTAAACCCTGCTGACTGCCATTGGCGATTGCCAAATAAACGGATCACAAGATGTAACAAAATAGATCTTATTATTAATTTATTACCAAACAGAAAACAATACACTTGCGGAAAAGAGGGTATACCGCAAACATGAGGTGCAAAAATTTGTACACCATATCCGGATTTTGACAATTAATGTCTCTTCAGTGATGTTAGGAATCGAAACGGTATTTGGAAGGCCATATAATTTACCTCAATTTAGGATAGACTCTTAAATTTTGAAAGAGTCAAAATAGGATGAACGGATCATATAAACCCGAAGGCAAACATAATACAAGTCCAAACGAAAAATAATAAACAAGTCTAAATTGAAAACAACGTTCAAACCTATGATTGCGTTGGATAAAAACCGCAATTTTTATACGTGTGCATGCAAAACAAATTTCTTGGTAGAGGGGTCTAAATACAGCACAAACAACATTTTCCAAAAGACCAAATGAGTGAAAAAATATATTTTAACAAAACGCATTTGACTAGCAGGTCCAACAACTGATGTTCTTAAACCCTGCTGACTGCCATTGGCGATTGCCAAAGAAACGGATCACAAGATGTAACAAAATAGATCTTATTATTAATTTATTACCAAACAGAAAACAATAAACTTGCGGAAAAGATTGTATACCGCAAACATGAGGTGCAAAAATTTGTACACCATATCCGGATTTCGACAATTAATGTCTCTTCAGTGGTGTTAGGAATCGAAACGGTATTTGGAAGGCCATATAATTTACCTCAATTTAGGATAGACTCTTAAATTTTGAAAGAGTCAAAATAGGATGAACGGATCATATAAACCCGAAGGCAAATATAATACAAGCCCAAACGAAAAAAAAAATAAACAAGTCTAAATTGAAAAAAAACGTTCAAACCTATGATTGCGTTGGATAAAAACCACAATTTTTATACGTGTGCATGCAAAACAAATTTCTTGGTAGAGGGGTCTAAATACAGCACAAACAACATTTTCCAAAAGACCAAATGAGTGAAAAAATATATTTTAACAAAACGCATTTGACTAGCAGGTCCAACAACTGATGTTCTTAAACCCTGCTGACTGCCATTGGCGATTGCCAAATAAACGGATCACAAGATGTAACAAAATAGATCTTATTATTAATTTATTACCAAACAGAAAACAATAAACTTGCGGAAAAGAGGGTATACCGCAAACATGAGGTGCAAAAATGTGTACACCATATCCGGATTTTGACAATTAATGTCTCTTCAGTGATGTTAGGAATCGAAACGGTATTTGGAAGGCCATATAATTTACCTCAATTTAGGATAGACTCTTAAATTTTGAAAGAGTCAAAATAGGATGAACGGATCATATAAACCCGAAGGCAAATATATTACAAGTCCAAACGAAAAAATATAAACAAGTCTAAATTGAAAACAACGTTCAAACCTATGATTGCGTTGGATAAAAACCGCAATTTTTATACGTGTGCAGCCATGCAAAACAAATTTCTTGGTAGAGGGGTCTAAATACAGCACAAACAACATTTTCCAAAAGTCAAATGCGTTGTTTTCAATTTAGACTTGTCTATATATATATATATATATATATTAAATGATATAACAATTCTAAAGCTACCGATACAACTACAGGGTTTTACGATTGCATGTATTTGCCATAAATTAGCACGTTTCATAATGTTTTACTAAAATAATAAATGATGCCTGACACTGTCGGGTCTGTTTCGTACCGTAACAATGCCAGGCCTGCTTCGTACTTTGATACTGCCTGGTCTGTTTAAAACTTAAAACTTTAAGTAGATGCATATTTGGAATGGAGTTGAAATTATTTTGATGATCAAGCAATCTGTATAACATTGTTCAACCTTTCGCTATCCCGTGAAAATGCAAGTCAGAAAAATTGACATGATACTAAAACTATCAAACATTGTAGATCGAGTTAACGAGTTAACTTAGTTAAAGAAGTATATTATATTACTGCCGACCGTATTTTGCATGTCAGTTAATCTCTTCAATTACAATTTCAAATATAGTTTTAACTACTATCTATGAATGTAACGACAATTTTATATGCATACACAAGAAAGAAAATAAACAATTTATGAAACAGAAACAAACAATATTTGATAACAAAATAACCCAGTTTATCACCACCTTCAAAACAACCTTCAATGGTTAAAATAAAAAACTGCTTACATATATTGATTACATGTTGTGTATTTTCAAAAACTCAAAATTTGATGCAAATAATATAAAATAGCATAATGAATTTTATTTATTTCCAGAAAAAAAGATTTTGTCATTTATTAAATATATATTCATATTTATAGTATCGTTATTTCTATCTGCTCAGTAAGTCTTGATGGAATTTCAATCATCACAAAGAAAAACAACAACAACAAAAACAACTTAAGCAGAATTGTATTTGAAATTCATCTCCCTCCTTTTAAAACACTATCACAATGTAGTTTTAAAGAAGTGATCTAGACAAAACATCATTTGAACATTTTTGCATTTTGACAATTAGAGATATACTAGTATATATGAATCAAAACAGATCGTAAAGGGACTACTGACTATTAGTCCATAGTGATATCATATTTAAAGTCAAAATGTGGTATTGGTACGATTATAATGTAACATTTTTCTTTTAATAGCCAGGTTATAAGTTTAAGATAATTGGTTGCAACTCCTTTAGACAAAATTGTCCTTTTCGGGTTTTTGGCTGTTCTGTTTCGGTCATTTTTTTCGTACTCTTTGATGTTTGATATTTTTAGCTTTTGATACTTGTGATCTCGAGCGTCACTTAATTTATATGTAATCATAAAAACACGCATTATGTGCTCTGGTAAATAGTATCATACGTATATTCCATCCATAAGAAGTAAACTTAAGCATATAAATTACAATGTGCACACATTTAGCTAGTATGAATTATTTATTTGAATAATTATACAGGCATTTTATCTTTAAAGTTTTTTAAAGGCTGTCACTATGACTTGAGTTAAAGAAAAGCACAACAACGGCTACTCCTTTGTTTTTGATGTTGGCAAGTGTGTGAGTGGATCTTATGTAATAAATTAGTACAACCAATCCTTCTTTTCCTTAAAAAGGAAGCTATTGTTTTAATCTCGTTTTTTAATCTTCTGGTCTTATGTCAAAGTATATAAAATTCAGCAATTCATCTAAAGATCTGATTTCATACGACTGAGGTGCTCGAACTTCCTTAAGGTTTTTACCTTTCAAGCTTTCCCCAACTAGATATTCTTTGCCTATTTTACTTTGTGCCCATTTAATTATTTTATCCATTGTTGGTGTTTCTACACTAACGATTTCTGCTATACCTTTCATAACAACAAGACCAAATGGAATGTCCTCTGTTATGTACCGATATTCAAAATCTGGAACATATCCATTTTCTACAGCGTTCATTGGATGTACAAATTGAGAATATGATTGATTTGTTCTCATACACGTCATCACTGAACTATCATCTGATATTTGTTTATAGTAACGCTGTTTAAACCAATCATGTATATGAATTACGTCAGTCATATCCATATCCTTTTTCAGGTCTGATATCCTCTTTGCTGTTGCCACTAATTCATCACTTAAGTTTGACATGATATCAGCTTGTTCCTCACTTACTGTTGTAAAATATGAAGGAACTTCAGTTAAAGGTTGTCCATCCCAATCTTTCCATTTACCATACATAAGAGGAGGATGAAGAATGGAACCAGCCATCAATGAAACAGAGAGGAAATTAGAAGCTAGTTTTATTACGGGTTTTTCACCGAGTGTATATTGTATAGTTTCAATTATTGGAAAATGAAGTTTACAGTCAATACCTGTAAGCATTGTGGCATATAATACGTCTTTTTTGCCAAACAAGCGAACATGTTTACCATAGTCCACTACACGACATCCCCATGGTAAGGAATCGAAACCAACGATTGTACATATTCTGGATTTATTTCCTAAAATGTACTTACATTGAAGTTCAAATCCTGCATGGCCTGGGAGACCGACTAGTAGCATATTACGATTAATGTAAGGAAGTATGCTACGGATATAAAGTTCATGACGATAAGCCGGAGCGACAATAAAAACGACCTCTATTTGATCCATTGCCAAGGCTGCGTCGTTCGTTACAAAGGACGGTGATGATTCAATCTTCTCCACCGAACCATCTGGTTGTGTAGCAGAAATAGTCAGGCATCCTTCCTTCAGAGAATTGTTCCAAAGGTCAGCTGATCCTTCATGCAATGTGAGTACGTTAACTTCGATATTCTTTCTTTGTAATGCAAATACTGCTAAACAATGAGCGCCATTTCCTCCACCACATATCAAGATTTTTAGTTTTGAATCCATCACCACTGATGTATCTGGAAATAGAAAAAAAACTGATTCTGAAATTTCTTTTATTAGTTTAATCCTGTTGTCTAGTGGGTTGGTGAGTTTGTGTAATATTTTCACACCTGGAGATTGCGGTACACCGACCATTCCGATATAGCCAATAGGGCTGAAAGTCTCGTTAAAGACCAACAATCATTCAATCGTATCAGAAAAAATACCGCATATGTACGCAGCTTTATAGTTTTTACATCAAAACAAGATTTCGAAGTTACTGCCTCTTTAAAAGACATATCCCAGCAAACACACAACATTTTAAAAACATTTTTTAAATGTCATATGGACGTCTCTCACAAAATATTTCAATAAGATATCATTTAAACATAAAAAAAATGTTTATTTTATTGTTTTTGAAATGTTTTATTTCTAACATTTAAGTAAAATGTTTTTACAACATTAACAAAATATTATTTGCTAATATCTTTTATTCATGTTCTCAAACATTGTTCTAAAATATCCCGTAGATATTTTATAATATAAAAAAATAATATTTTCTTCAATTGGTATTTTATATTTTAACAACATTTAAAGTAAATATTTTCCAAATATCCAAAAAACATTCTGCAAAAAAATGTTTTACAGAAAATATAGTTTTGCTATTTGCATAAAATGTTTTATAACGTAAAATTAAAATGTTTTACATAAAACATCTGAAAAATATCAGCTAAATGTTTTCTATAAAATATTCTGACATACACATTACTTAATAGTCTTACTGATATTTTATTCAACATTTTACGGATATAAAAATAACATTTTATTTAAACTTTATTCAAAACCCCACACACAACGTTTTGTGGAATTAGCTCGTTTTTTTCAGGATAAGATATAGTACTACATTTCATCAATATCATGACAAGCAAGATACTATGGTTGAAATCCTTAATTGATATCTTGAAGATCCTTGAAGTCAGATTGTATTCCTTCTTATATTAAAATTCAAAAGAGTCAACATTAAATTACGCAATAATGTATTAATAAACAATCACCTTTTTTGTTTAATGTTTATTCATTTCGTTCGTGTATATTTTAGAAATTAAGAAATGAAAACTGTAACTGTACTAAGTTCAATTTTCGTATCGTTTAAATGTCTTACGGAAAACCGACCTTTTCCGGAATCGACTTTTGTTTTATCACCGGAAATGATTTTGAAATTTGAATTTCGAAACGAAGACAGGATGTCAACAAAGAGAGACAAGAAAATTGTTTGTTACGCGATATATACTCACTTGGTAAGAATGATTAATCTGTTAAGATGAACTTGTGCATTCATCGTGTGTGTTCAATCATAATCGGAACCAAATTACATCTGTTTCTGGAGGTGCGGATCAAGGTTTTGAAAAAAGGGGGCCCCCTGCCCAAGGCAAGCAAACGTTTGGAGTGATACTTGCAAATAGTCTATACATTTATCTTATAAGTAGCTCCATAAGGGGGTCGGGGCCCCTAAATCCGCCACTGTTCAAGCATCTACGTACACCAATTATGAATTTGTTCATTGATATAAAAAAATTATAAGGATATGTGGCTTGTGTGTTTGATTGCCAATACACCTTATCGCTATTTGTCCGCCATTACTGGCCATGGACATCACAAAAGTTCCCATAAAATGTTGACGTCATATTAGAAAATATTTGACACCACAATTGAAAGTAATACACCTTATCGCTATTTGTCCGCCATTACTGCACATCACACAACTGTCACAAGTTTCCTTAAAATTTTGACGTCATCATAAAAAATATCTGATGCCACAATGGAAAAGTGATTGTTGTTTGACGTCAAAAGTTCAAGCAGGATAGATTCTCGGATCAAGCGGGAATAGCGATAAGGTGTATTATTGTATGACGTATGCTGACGTAAAAAGTTCAAGCGGGACAGATTTCCAAATACTGAAATAGCGATAAGGTGTATGAGACAGCTATCCACCAGAATTTAAATGACTTGGATAAAAGAAATTATAGGTCACTGTACAGCTTTCAAAACTGAGAAAACCAATGCCATATAGTCCACTTTGAAGCCTTGACAAACAAATGTTAAACTTTTCTCAACACAATTGAAACAAAACAACTAACTGCCTACATTAAATACACATTATGAAAAAAATTGACAGACTTAAACCAACAACAACTATTGCAATAAGCATGACTCAATACCTTGTTTCCGAGGCACACAAACAAGTTACAATAACACTAATATAAGCACCATTTGAATATGGAGATTTTTTTTTCTAGTAAAATCAGTGTATGTATGTATTTGCAAAACAGTAAATTAAATTTCCCTTAACAGCTTAATGAACATTACAAAGACTATGTAAGACTTCAGTACAAGCAAGATAATATAAACTGTTGCTTAAAATTATATTTATTGCTTCATACACACAATGTACATACAATGTATCTTTTATTTTTTAACAGGAGCTAAAAGAAAAGCCACAAAGGACAAGTTCAATATGCAGGTTTACAATTTGGAAGTGGCGCAGGTTCTTTGGAATGTCTACAACCTTTCAGGAGAATTTTTTTTTTAAGTAAGATTTTCATACAGAATTACTGTTATTCCATATTTAATTCAAATATTTAGCATAAACAATGCATTACATTCAAGATTAAGGGCATACAATACAGAAAAGATATCTGGATATTTGAATAAATAATTTTTTTTGTGACAAAATAGAAACAAGTTGTTTATTTAAATCAATCTTTTAGTCCAACAGTGTGCTTTCATAAACAACATATTTGCTTTCCTTTGAAGTATTTCAAATACATATAAACAACTCATTTAATGACATCTGTGTGTTTCTCGGAAGTTAAGTTATATTATTATCATCATTGTGAAAACAATGCTTAACACTTCGATAAGTTATTATGTGCCTATAGTATACTTCTAGGACTGTATCATATGCCCTTAGATACAAATGACAAGTTATAAACTATGTCACTCTACAGAGTTTAACACTTAAAAATGACAATAAGATGTTTAATGACATTATGTAGCAGGGCTTTTAAAGGCCCCTACATGATACAATGCATTTAATGAAAACTAAAAAAAAACAAGAAAAACAACAGCCTGATTTATACAAAACAATAAAAGAAAAAAATTATGATAGACAACAATCAACGAGTATAATGAAATAAGAATCTTGACTGGACACATATCTAGTCTAAAGTTTTTTATGTGTTTTTTTTTTAAATAACTTAATGAAGTTCAGCGTGGCATATTGCTCTCTCTTAACACGGTCAGTCATTTATCGTCCCCTTCCGACAGACTATCATCGTTATTTGTTTCAAAACTTTAAAGGGGAGGGGATGTATATCCTTCAGGCAACGTGAATCGTTCTATAATAAAGGAATGTGCAAGAAGTTTATATAGGTGTAATACCACCAAATCATAGTACGTCACATCCGGTTGCATACGAAAATAGGTCGAAAAAAAATATTCCCTTGAATTTGACAGTTGTAGGTAATTGATCCTACATTTCATTGCAGTAAAACATTTCTGAGTCATAAACATATATCTTGGGTATTTCAAAGCACCATTATTTCTTTATTTGGGGTTTCTATAGAATATTTTGGAAACTTGAGGTTACATGGTTACTAAAGCTTGTACACAGGTTAAAAAAGGGGGAAAATTTGATTGGTTAACTTCCAGTGATGGTTATTTTCTTATATGCAATGAAATGTTATGTGAAATTTTTTCTATAGTACTGGACAGGATAAAACTTTACTCATGCCAAGTATTTCTTTATTTGAAACAAAGATAAATTCTGCACAATTTTTTGAAAAGTGCAAATTTAACAAAGACTAATAGGGGAAAATCAATGGTGGTATTACACCTAATATGGGAAGCTGTACATGCACCTTTGACCTTGTGAGTACTCTCATGTGTTAAAATTTCTTGCTATTTAAGTGAAATATTACAAATTATGAAATATTCTGAGTGGATTGAGTCTCCAAAATACATTTTATGAGAAAATTTCCTTGAAATAGGACTTTACCATGAATATTAGTTGACAGAACAAGCCATACTTAGAGTCTTGGGGAGCTTTTTCTCCTTATTTCTTATATTCTGCTATACTAGAAAATTTTTCCTAAGAAATACTTTAATAAATATATAGTTTTAAGTAAATGAAATTATTTTTAAAGCAGTAACAACAAATTATTCACCAAAAGAGAAGTTTTTTATGTCCCTCTCTGGAACGCGGCGTAAATTTAAGTTTTACGCAAGGACTTATTGAAACCTCCTTGGAGACAGTAAACTTTTATACGTGTAGTTCAAGCAGCTTGAATACTTCAATTAATCATTTATAATAACATTTCTATCATAAATGAGTGAAAGTTACCCCAAAATTTTTATTTATTGGCCTAAAAAGTAGAAATTTTGAGGAAATTAGAGGCATAAATGGACCAAAAGAGACTTTATAAGGAAGAATAAGAGGTCCATTAGTAGTATTTATCATCCTAAAGTCATCTTTTGTATCATATTCAACTGTTTGTAGGCAGATGAGATAAATATTTGATCATTTATTGGTCCACACTATATTATATCATGATGCGGCTTGGTTTGAATTTTTCGAAGAAATTTTGCTCGAATCGCTGTAGATGTCGTCTTACATTATACTAGATTTTTCTCAAACTATTGAACTGATTATGACAAAACTTGACAGGAATGCTTGAAATAACCAGTATTACAAAGGAAAAAAGTCACATTCAGTTTATTCAACAAAAAAGTCTTCTTTAGGTGTAATACCACCAAATCATAGTACGTCACATCCGGTTGCATACGAAAATAGGTCGAAAAAAAATATTCCCTTGAATTTGACAGTTGTAGGTAATTGATCCTACATTTCATTGCAGTAAAACATTTCTGAGTCATAAACATATATCTTGGGTATTTCAAAGCACCATTATTTCTTTATTTGGGGTTTCTATAGAATATTTTGGAAACTTGAGGTTACATGGTTACTAAAGCTTGTACACAGGTTAAAAAAGGGGGAAAATTTGATTGGTTAACTTCCAGTGATGGTTATTTTCTTATATGCAATGAAATGTTATGTGAAATTTTTTCTATAGTACTGGACAGGATAAAACTTTACTCATGCCAAGTATTTCTTTATTTGAAACAAAGATAAATTCTGCACAATTTTTTGAAAAGTGCAAATTTAACAAAGACTAATAGGGGAAAATCAATGGTGGTATTACACCTATATGAATGTAAGATTAATTTTTTTTTCAGAAGCATGGCACAGCAAGAAAAAGATATAAGACACTACAAGACATTCCAAGTGATTTTGAATAAGACAATTGATTGACTTTTTCAATGTATTCTTAAATAAATCAAATAGTTGATGTAAAATGGTGTTTTGTTCTCATCTCTTCAGCCAATTATCAATGATTATTGACTTAAGATTTAACCCTATTAGAAGTGTAGCGTTTTAGTTTAGAAAGAGAAGTTGTATTGAAAAATCTGAATTTGGGACACAAGTTTTAGTCAATGTAACTTGAACTTAAAAATGTGGATAATGTTTGCATAATGTCCAATGGCATATATGTCATGCATGTTCAGGTTGACATATGCATGATGTGTATAAGATAGGTAATAAAAGTTGAGAGTGAAAAACTAAAAATTATACCATTGTGGTTAGAATGTGGGCTTTCTTGCACTGTCTGTCGTCTGTCCACCTATATTTGTCGGATTTTGTCCAACAAATATTTTCATCACTGTTTTTCCCAAAACTGCTGATCAAGATGAGGTCATATTTAATGTTGAATGTTCTCAAATTTTTCATTACTTTAATTAGTAATGCTGATGAACAGAATGACTTCATATTTGGTAAGTGGCTTGACCATGATGAGTTGTGTCTGCCATTTTGGATGTGTCAACATTTGTAGATACTTCTTGTTTTTAGAGACTTTGAATTGTGAATTTCATATGCTTAGCAAAACAACTGATTTATTCTTGTTTGTATATAGAATTAATCACTGTGTATAAATAATTTAACTAATGATTTGTTATTTAAAAAAGCAGGAAACTCAATCAGAAGTACAGAAATTTTTATATTGATATGATCTAGATATCAACCAAAAACATTTTCTTAAAACATTTTGAAAACATTTTTTAGGCACAGTCTCACTTGCAAGAAAACATCCAAAAAACATTTCTATAACATTATTTGATGTTCATGATGTTTTTCAAACGTTCAGAAAATATTTCTAGAAAATATTTTTTAAAAGATTATCAAAATGTTTTATACGCCATTGTTTTTCACATTATCATGATATTTCTTTACAACATTTTAATTATATTATGCAAATATTTTAGAAAATATATTAGAAAACGTTTTAGCGATATATATTCTACCATACATTTAATGTTTTTCTCACGTTTTTTTGTGATATTTTCATGACATTAGACACAACATTTTAAAAACATTTTAAAGATGTTTTTGTGTTTGCTGGGATGTTTGTATTAAAATTATTATGCATAACCCAAAAATCGACATGAACAGAGAATCTCTTTCTGATTGGTTACAGTGGTCTTTTTCATAAAGTCCGTTCCACAAATTTGTGTTCGGGCAGATTTCAAATTCTCTCATAGAACCTTTTAACTTTTGTATTCGAAATTTTGAAAACATTCTAGTTTTTTTTAAAAATATTTTAGCTGTGTATATTGTTGTTTACACACACACACATGTATATATAAAGTATAACTATTATACATACCTTTCTACAATGATACAATACAGACAAAGATAAGAATGATGTCTTCGATACAAAGTTGATTAAAGATTGTGTACACATACAGGTAATAGATAAAATATGGAGGTAAATGTACATACATTTATGTTAAATAATCATACACATTAATGGATGTCTGTAGAGTTCATGTGATCTCGTATTTATTTATTTGTTTCCTTTTTGTTTCATTAGTTTGTGATTTTTTTCGCAATATTGTCACCAAAACATGTTCATAAATATTTATTTTTCCTTTCTTATCTGTCAATATAAGAATCGTCGTAACAAACATAGAAAGTACTTAGTTGAGATACTATATTTGAAATATTGAAAAACAGCACGGAAAGACAGGAACTGACATGCATAAAAATGGCCGACAGTAAAATTAGCATATATATTTGGTCTCCTGCACAATTAACAAACATTGAATATTCAGAGAGTATAATTATATTGACCTACGAGATACTGTCATACACTTATCCAGGAACTACCCTTAACCCGGAAATTTACCTTTATCCCATTACCCTTAACCAGGGAACAAACATATTCTGTGATATTTTTTCAACAAAGCAAAATTTGTTAAATATTTCTTTTTAATTAGATTTACAGTAAATTAATAAGCATTTATCGGTATATAGCATTTCGATTATTTTGAATAATGCACTAATATTGAAGTAATTCTTATTTGCAAAGGGAGAATACATTAAAAAATTTAATTTTTCATGGAAAGGGAGACAACTGCAACTTATTACTCTTAAACGGAAACGCGTTTACTCTTATCCAGAAAATGTAATGTTTTATTATTGACTAATTGTCAACACAGGAATGCATTTCCAATATTTAGTCAACTAAAAATAAATAGATGTAAATGAACACAGTCAAATCCAAATGCAATTGTATTTCCTCAATAGACTTGTAGCTTTAAAGTCGAAGGTAATTTTATTTTTGTCGTTTTCATCTGTAATGAGACAATCATTTGATTTTTCGGGGGGTTTGTTTTGGGGGGGGGGGGGGATGCAGCAAGATTTAGAAAACAATACCCTGGCCTGGCCAAAATAAACACAAAGTGCAGGAAACAGTTGTGCTCAAAAGTTGAAGAAAAAAAAAATTCGGCCAACAAATGTAAGCGTGCATAAGTATATACTTCATAATTCGAATTCAGGATATCCTGAAATATTTCATGACCTTTACAAATAATCGGTAAAAATTGATTTATTTCAAAAGGTCTTTCAGTTTTTAAATGTCAGGATATCTTTAATATATATGGATGAGCGTGATAGTTTTATATTTGTTTGTTCGCGTTTTTTATCTTCTTAAAATTTAACCATCATGGCTAACATGACTAATAAACAACTGCGCCATGAGCGCATGATACGCCCGTCGTCTTGTGTGTGAATTTTTATGCAATAATCATAAATAGTTTCTGACAAAAGGTGCGACATGTGAAAACCCACCTTTTTTTACAAAAAACTCAATAACTCTAAAATAAAATTGTGAATCGTCACCAAAAAGTATACAACTCTTAAGATAAATATAACTAAGAAGTGTGTAAAGTTTTAAGCCATTATCATAAATTGTTTTTGAGATAATGCGCGACATGTGAAAACCCCCCCTTTTTTTTTTACAAAAACTCAATATCTCTAAAATAAAATTTTGAATCAAAATCAAAAAGTATACAGATCTTTAGATAATATAACTAAGAAGTGTGTAAAGTTTTGAGCAAAAATCATAAATTGTTTTTGAGATACGGCTCGACATGTGAAAACCCCCTCCCCCCCCCCTTTTTTTTTACAAAATACTCAATAACTCAAAAATAAAATTTTGAATCATCACCAAAAAAGTATACAGATCTTTAGATTAATATAACTAAGAAGTGTGTAAAGTTTGAAGCAATAATCATAAATGGTTTTTGAGATATGGCGCGACATGTGAAAAAAACACACTCCTGTTTTAGTTACAAAGTCCCGTAACTCAAAAAGTTTTAATCTTTTTTTCACCAAAAAATAAACAGATCTTTTGACTATTATAAGAAACAAATATGATAAGTTTCATGAAATTTGGATAAGTCGTTCTCAAGTTACGGTACGACATGTTTACGCCGGACAGATAGACGGACAGACGGACGCCGGACATTTGTATACCATAATACGTCCCGTCAAACTTTTGACGGGTGTATAAAAACCAAGTTACCTGAACATAGGAATTATATGAATTAATTGGCTTATATCTAGGAAACTATAATAGATAGAGAAATAAATCTTTCGCGCAAACAAATTTTAATGCCCAGAATAACAATTTCTACTTATTTACCATTTCCACCTAAATAATCAGATGGCTTCTTTGAATGACTCCTTTCCGGATTGTCCCCCTAAAATGATGACTTTTGACTTATTCGCGAAGTGTGCCTTTAACATCGAAAATAATGATAGGTTGTAACTATAAAATAATCAACAATGCAAAATATATTTTTGACAGGTGAGCAATTCAGGCTATCTTGTAATTTTAGTTTAATTAATAAACACTTATCCGATTTATGCAGCAAGATATTTTCTCTCGAATATATGAGACAGACTACAATGTATATAGAAGCTTCTGAATATAGTCTACTATTTTACTGTATGTCAATACTCTTATCCCGGAAATAAAAGTGAGTTCTCATTTGACGGAAAACATACGACTAACAGCTGTTTGCAGAACTACGAAAAAAACAATAACTCCCCTACTGCCAAACCCTCGTTTCCATAATAAACGGATCACATTATATATATATATATATATATATATATAAGGAAAGGTTAAGTAGAATCCGTATGCTGGTAACATATAAGAAACTTATTATAATAAAAGATAATAACGGTTTCAATTCATCACTTTAACTAGCGCTTTCACTGCTTTCACAGATCTTCAGGTATATATATATACATAGATAACACGTATTTATAAAAAAAACACCTTATCATATTACAGCTACATTTATATAAATTAAGGCTGATATAAATAAAAAAAAAAAAAAAAAAAAAAATCTGTTAACACTCCTCACAAATCATTTTACGTATTCAACTCACAATTATATGGAAATGAAAATATCTGTTGATCCTATAAGCTTCGTTTAAAATACGTACGAAATAGGAAACAATATTATGCATATAGATAAGACTGTCTTATTAATATTTAGATGATACTTTCAATTGAATTAGTCTGGCTTTAGTCTGCAATATGTCAGTACTCTTAACCCGTCAATATTTTTTTTTAAAGAAAAGTACATGTATGATTCAGTAAAAGTGAATAGTTTCGTTGATGCTGTTGGTTTTTTCTCCTTTCTTTCGGAATGAAACAAAGTTTCTTGTAAACTTGTGAAACTGCTAGCATCTTATAAATAAAGTAAATGCGCCTTGAACTGCGCATTGAGCAGTGTGGACAGTGCCGTGATATATACCTCCAAACTTGTTTGTAGGAGATGTAAAAAAACGACACTGTTAACAGAAAAAGAACAAAAGGACCATGATATTATTGTTCAGATCATACCTCTTTCCGAAGAAATCTGCAATTTGACTTTTTATGTTGGTACTCTTATCCCGGAAATATGATGTAAAGAGAATGTTTGTGTTGCAGAGAAAGCTG